TGTGGTAGTGTTGTATCATATGTACTGTACATTGAAAGTTGTGGTAGTTTTTGTATCATCATGTACTGTACATTGAAAAGTTGTGGTAGTTTTTGTATCATCATGTACTGTACATTGTAATTGTGGTAGTGTTGTATCATTATGTACTGTAACATTGTAAGTTGGGGTAGTGTTGTATCACCCATGTACTGAAACAGTGTACGTTATGGTCGTTGCATCAGGGGTGTGTATCGCAGCGCACAATACTCGAGTCATGTTTATACCTCTCGAAAGTCTTCCACTCCCTTGAATATATTGATGGGGAAGAACTAGCTCTTGGGGCTTGTACAGCGCCAAGACCCTCGAGCAGGGTTTCTCAAACTTTTTCCTCCTTTCATTAACCCTCCCGCTTGATGTATTTCTCCATTGACCCCCTCACTTCCTTACAAAAATTTATCGCCATCATAAAGGAACAGAAAAACAAGGTCAGAAAAAATAAATGATTCAGGTTTTGCACAAAAATAGCAATATACATTCGTACACCAAAAATTAAAAACATTCTTTTTTAAAGCAATAATTATTCAATTATCAGGTGCATCAAATATTTGCCATGTAATTTTTTTTTCCCCCAAGGGGTAAATTTTTCCCCTGGTTGAGAATTACTGCCCTAGAGAATGGGGGGGTATCAGGTTTGATCCAGGGAAAAAAAACGTAGCTCTTCTGCAGCTCTTTCTTTCCAATATTTGTAAGTAAATTAATAACCAACGCTGAGGAAAAAGATAAGATTTTTTCGGATTTTTAACTCCGAGGATTAGCCACCCAGGATATCCCAAGAACGTCCCTCGAGGTCTGCTGTCTTATTTCCATTAGGGTCCTTAAATCTTGTCCCCCAGGATGCGACCCCAAAACCAGTCGACTAGCAAAGTACCTACTTACTGCTAGGTGAACAGGAAACATGCCCAAAGTTTCCACCCATACCTGGAGGGTTTTTCCAGGGATCAACGCCAACGCAGTCCGGTCCATGACCAGGGCCTCCCGATGGATCAGGGCCTGATCAACTAGGCTGTTACTGCTGGCCGCACGCAGTCCAACGTACGAGCCACAGCCCGGCTGATCCGGCACTGACTTTAGGTATCTGTCCCACTCCTCTTGAAGGCAGCCAGGGCTTATTGGCAATTCCCCTAATGCTTGATGGAGGCTGTTGAACAGTTTTGGGCCCCGGACACTTATGGGTTTTCCCTTAGTGTACCAATGGCGCCCCTACTTTTTATTGGGGGCATTTTGCATCGCCTGCCCAGTTTTTTACTTTCGTAGGGAGTGATTTCTGTGTGCAGATTTGGGACCATTCCTTCCAAGATTTTCCAAGTGTAGATTATAAATATATCTCTCCCTCCTGCGTTCCAACGAGTACAAGTCAAGTGCTTCCAAGCGTTTCCCAGTAGTTAGGTGCTTGACAGAACTTATACGTGCAGTAAAGGATCTCTTACACTCTCTAGATCTGCGATTTCACCTGCTTTGAATGGAGATGTTAATGTACAGCAGTATTCCAGCCTAGAGAGAACAAGTGATTTGAAAGGATCATCATTGGTTTGGCATCTCTCGTTTTGAAAGTTCTCATTATCCATCCTATCATTTTCTTTGCACGTGCGATCGTGCACTGTTGTGATCCTTGAAAGTGAGATCCTCAGACATTACTACTCCCAGGTCCCTTACATTATTTTTCCCCTCTATTATATGGCCGGAGTCGGTAGTATACTCTGTTCTAGTTATTATCTCCTCCCGTTTTCCATAACGGAGTAGTTGGAATTTGTTCCTCATTGAACTCATATTGTTTAACCGTTGCCCACTGGAAAACTTTGTTTATATCTTCTTGGAGGTTAACCGCGTCCTCGGCAGATGACAGCCTCATGCAGATCCTAGTATCATCCGCAAAGGATATACGGTGCTGTGGTGTATATCTCTGTCTATGTCTGATATGAGGATAAGGAATAAGATGGGGGCGAGTACTGTGCCTTGTGGAACAGAGCTCTTCACTATGGCAGCCTCCGATTTAACTCTGTTGACACTACTCTTTGTGTTCGATTTGTTAGGAAGTTGAAAATCCATCTCCCCACTTCCCAGTTATTCCTTTAGCACGTATTTTATGGGCTATTACGCCATGATCGCATTTGTCAAATGCTTTTACAAAGTCTGTGTATATTACATCTGCATTCTGATTTTCTTCCAGTGCATCCAAGGCCATGTCATAGTGATCCAGTAGTTGAGAGAGGCAGGAGCGACCTCCCCTGAACCCATGTTGCCCTGGATTGTGCAGATTTTGGGAATCCAGGTGATTTGCAATCCTGCTTCTTAGCACTCTTTCAAAGTTTTTTTATGATGTGGGACGTCAGAGCTATTGGCCTATAGTTCTTAGCTAATGCTTTGCTGCCACCTTTATGGAGGGGAGCTATATCCGTTGTTTTAAGTGACTGTGGAATTTCACCCATGTCCAAGCTCCTCCTCCATAGTGTACTTAGGGCATGCGAGAGGGGTTTCTTGCAGTTCTTAATGAAAACAGAGTTCCACGAGTCTGGGCCCGGGGCTAAGTGCATAGGCATGTTGTCAATGACTTTTTCGAAATCTATCGGAGTTACGGTAATGTCGGAAATCTGGCATACATTTATGGAGTTTTGAGGCTCATTCATGAAGAAATCATTTGGGTCGTCGATACTCAGACCGATTAGTGGTTCACTAAACACAGAGTCGTACTGGGATTTCAATATTTCACTCATTTCCTTGTTGTCATCTGTGTAAGTCCCATCCTGTCTGAGTAAGGGCCCGATACTAGATGTGGTATTTGCCTTGTTTTTGGCATATGAAAAGAAATATTTTGAATTTCTTTCAATTTCACTAATAGCTTTAAGCTCTCCTGCCTCTCCTGGTTCCTGTAAGAGTCATTTAACTTTAGTTCGATAGTTTCCACTTCCCTGGTCAGCGCCTCCTTTCGTGTATCAGATATTCTAGCACTCAGTGACTCTTCGTCGTCTTCTGTAGAGGGAGCGTCTTTCTCTCTCCAGTTTATCCTGCTCTTCTTTCTTAGGGAAATATGCCAGGAATATGCCAGGGATTGAACTACGGACACGCATTGTGAGGCGAGAGCTATGAATTGTTATAGTAATAACCATATTTGTTAAGGGGTGGACCCAATAGCCAGCGGAAGGCCTCGGGGCATCATATGACTAAAATCCGCGCCAGAAAACACTTGTCCTGTTTTCCTAACAAATTTTACCTAACCTAACCTGTGGAACTGGACACCTTCTATCTAGGCAGAGGGACTGAACACCTGAAGATGATTTCCCCCTTCAATGAAGACTGAAATGACTGAAAACCTCAAAATCTTCAACTGTCATCAACCTTATTCTAGTGATCTAGTGAAAACAAAATACATAATTTTATGTTTTTCGTTAGTACCAAACCTGTGATGAAACCTCGCCACATCTCTTTGTATTGGCGACCAAGTCTGGTTCTAACAAGTCCAAGTAGAGGAACTTCGAATCTCAGGTATCCGGTTAAATATTTGAGCCGAGACCCAGTGACCATTATGTATATGTATCCTGCAGACGCGCCTTCACGCCAGGAATGATGTTCTTTAAAATGTCTATGTTTTCTCAGCTGAGATAAGATAGAAAAGATGATTAATCTCATTTCTGTCATAAAGTCTAGTAGATGGTTAATAATAATAATATAATAAATAAAATATAATAATAATAATAATAATAATAAAATAATAATAATAATATTATTATTTTATTATTATTATTTTTTATTATTATTTTAAAAATAACTTAAGAATTAACGAAGAATAACCCTTAAGAGAAATATAATTTATTTCCTCAAGATTCGTTTTTTCTATACATGTAACGTTGTGTAGCTTTAAAAAATGGTTGGATAAATACATGGTGGATGTGGGTGGGTGTGAGTTGGACCTGATAGCTTGTGCTACCAGGTCGGTTGCCGTGTTCCTCCCTTAAGTCAATGTGCCCTGACCTGACTAGGTTGGGTGCATTGGTTTAAAAGCCGGTAGGAGACTTGGACCTGCCTCGCATGGGCCAGTAGGCCTTCTGCAGTGTTCCTTCGTTCTTATGTTTTTATAGGGTATTTGTTTTAAGCAACCCCTCAAGGGACGTTCCTTGATGCTGGTGAGGGGCTCTTGACCCAATGAACTGGTTAATAATCCAAATTAAATATAAAAGGGTATTCACAGGTAAGATGGAAAACTTTTATAACATCTGATGAATTACACGACAGTCTTGTAATGTATATATTTTGTTGTTTTATGTGTAAATATAAGGACTTGTTTCCTTAAAAAGACCTGCTGTCCAATGTTCACTTATCAATAAAATAGGTACCTGGGTCTTAATCGACTGGTGTGGGTCGCATCCTGTGGATAAAATTGACTTTTAAATTTTCTCGAATGCTCTGTATAGCAAAGGGTTTTCTATATATTATTATGTCATTGATGTCATCTGTATACCTTGTACATGTAGAAATAAATTATTATTATTATTATTAATAAATAGGGAAATAAATATTGGTTAAGTAAAAAAATACTTTATGCTCGCTTCCTCTTGCTCCTCCCAGACCAAAACTAGGTCAACTAGTTGGACATCTGCGCCGGCATTATTGGAGTTTTTGTGTACATCTCACTTTATCTTTTGCCTTCAGTATCCCTGACGAATGTTCTTTATTTCCTCTCCCTGGCACGTTTACCCTCGTCACACAATGCCCAATGCTGGGAAATTGGTCGGGGCGTCATATTACTTATTATATTTCTAGCTCTTGCTGGAACCATGGAAAGCCTGTTGTTGTTGACTCAGATAAAGGAGGTTGTGTGAATGTTTTAGCTCTTCGAAGTTTAGGCGAGGCGATTCACCTGACATAATTTGGAAGTTATTATTCCCCTTTCTTCTTCCGGAGGAAACTTTGTTTCCTTTGTAATTCCCAATCTAGTTTTGGACAATATTTTTTCCGGGAAGCAAGGCTCAATACAGTGTGAGCTTTGGTAACCTTAACAACCTCAACAACAACAACAACGCAGTTTTTAGTGTAAATTTCTCAGCTGATACAAGATGACTGAAGAAATTGAGGAACACGGTGTTAAAATAAACATTAAAGGCACTATCCAGGCACCCAAAAGGAATGAAGTTATGTTCAATTCAGACATGGTAGTAAATAGGTAAGCTTTCGAAATAAACTTACTAAAGACTGCATATTTATCCAAGACCCTAATGGAAATAATTCACTTTGACTTTCTTGGGTTATCCTAGGTTATCTACACATATCCTGCTGTGTATGATAATTTACGCAACTGTACTTATATGTACCTATACATGAATAAACTTAGGGATGTTAATCTAGCATGACTTGAAATCGCTAAGCAGTGTTGCATATTTCCATTGGGTCTCTTATGTCCTCTGCCCCATGCAACATTACCCTATACCATTAGGCCAGATTTCTTTCTAGTACCTGTACTGCCAACTTGTTTTTAACAAAATGAAAACACTGACAGATCTAAGTCCCACAATCTTATTGTAACTTGATAACTTGACAAGAAAAGTTCACCAAAACGTATTAACACATTAATAGACACGTTGAGTCCAACACTAAGATGCTAGGGCTCATGGCACTGAGGTTCAGGGCTTAAATGATAGTGTGTTTGGCATACACTTGAAGGACCTGGGTTCAATCCTGGGACGAATGGAAACTTTGGGCATGTTTTTTTATGTGTTGCAGCTGCTCACCTAGCAAGATGTATCTGGTCATTTACCTGATTAGGTGAATATCCAGATCAGATTCTTATGTGATTTAAATGTAATTTTTTCCTTAAAGTGTCCAATGTTAAGTGTGATTAGTCATAAAAAATTTTTTTAATTTTTTGCAAGTAGTAAATCATGTAAGCAAACCTAAAGATGTACCATAGTTATTTATTTCTTCTGATAAGGCACTTTTAAATTAATGCTATAACTGGGACAAGTACACATCCTTTTGACATCCCACTTTTGACAACTTCCTGTAAGGAAATTTTCTTTTGAATGTCTCTTAATAATTTGCAAATGCTTGCATCATTACATTAAATTCAGCAGATACAAATGTGCTGTTATCAAGGCATTTAAGCTATATTTTAGGGAGTGAATGTATAGTATGTTACATTAGGTAGTGCAATTTTCTCCTTATTGTGAAAATAGCTAACGGTGCTACTGTATTCCATATAAAATATATATATATGTATATGATACAGTATTTTGTTGTGAATATTTTCAAGGCAACCACAAAAGTACCAGCTGTGAGCAGCAAAACTTGTGGTATGTTTGGAATCCCCCTGTTGTGTGGTCTCGCATCAGAAATCAGTCCTGCGTGGAAATTCCTGTCTGGAGTAAACTCTACTGGCACAGCTTTCAGTTGCACAGGGATATGAAAGTGCCACCTCTTTCCCTACTCTCCCATGAAGTAAGAGGGCTTTCTTTGGCAAAAAAATATTTCCAAGAGTACTGGTGTACTCTTCACCAGTGCTTTTCGAAGTGTCTGATGCAATGGGCCAGCAGTTTGTTTTTTATTGTACGACCAACTTAGTAATATTAAAAGGAGATGAATGGGAAAATTATATATAAGTTAAGAAAAATATGCAGACAATTTTTTTCTGATATTTATCCCATAAGCATTTAAAAACACCTAACCTTTATTAATGTGAAAGACAAACCTGCTTATTTACCAGCTTACCAAGCTGTGGCTCAACTGAGGACAGTGACAAGAGTGAGAGAGATTAAATGCCCATACTGTTCCTGTACTTTATCTTAGTGATAGACATGGTAGGGAAAGCAGTCAAGTAAAGGTATGTCAAGGGAAAATGGAAGAAGAATTTTCAGAGCATATCTATCAAGGTCAGGATATTTTGCATTCACTTTGATCTGAAAAAGGAAGCAAGTGGTGTTACAGTTTAGAAAATTAGCTTCGGTCCTTCATCAGTAACAATTTATCCTCCACAGCGACAGTCAAATCATCCTTCAATGCAGGTACAGCTAGGTCTTGATTAGTGTGAATAATGAATCCCGTGAAGTGGTAGCATTATCTGAATTCACACTATTCAAAGTTATAGTTCTGTGTAAAATATGGTAGAGTGGAACCCCAAGTTTCGGCCGTAATCCGTTCCAGGAGCTAGGCCTAAACTCGAAACGGCAGAAAGTTGAAGCAATATTTCCCATAAGAAAATAATGTAAATACAATTAATCCCTTCCAGACCCACAAAAATATTCACAAAAAATACATTTTTTAAAGAATATAGTTTAACATACAACAAATATAAATACTACTTAAATGAGTAATGCAATACATAAATAAACATTTAAATAAACATTTAAAATCACATTTACATACCTTTATTGAAGAGTCTTGCTGGCATCTGGAAGATAGGGAGGAGGAGAGAGGGAGGACTTATTGTTTGGAAGGGAAATCCCCTTCCATAAAGACTAGGTAAGAAGTCCTTATCTGGGGTTACTTCCCTTCTTTGTCTTTTAATGCCACTTGGACCAGCTTGAGAGTCACTGGACCCCTGTTGCACAAAATAACTGTCAAGAGTGCTCTGTTTCTGGCATCTCTTTAAGATTTCCCTGAGGTGGGACAAGGTTTTGTCACTGAACATGTTGCAGATATGGCTTGTTTCAGCTTCGTCAGGGTGATACTTTTCAACAAAACTTTGTAACTCATTCCACTTTGCACACATATCCTTAATCACTGAAGAAGGCACCTCCTTCACTCCCTCTTCCTCTTCCTCTGGGACATCATCGTTTTCTAGTTCATCAAAGCCAGTGTTTGCTATTTCTTCAATAACAGACTGCTTTTGAGAGAGAAAACCTTCAAAATCTTTTGCACAATGTGGCCGAATGTGCTTGAGTACTACATGCATGTTACTTGCAGTTATTTGTTGACAAGCATGGTGAATATTTTTGATTGAATCTTTGATGTTATAATTTTCCAAAAGTCAGTTAAGGAAATTGCATTGTCACCTATAGTGCTAGCAGTTGGTCCATGGGCTTCATTAGAGATGTTGTCCTGTCATTTTTGCACACAGTTGAAAGAGTTTGGGAAAAAAAAATTGCATTGATTGAATTTTGGCTCACATTACATTATGCAACATGGTATCATTTAACCCTTTCAGGGTTTCTGACGTACTAGTACAGCTTACGGACCAAGGTTATTGACGTACTAGTACGCCTAAATTCTAGCGCCATCAAATCTAACGAGAGAAAGCTGGTAGGCCTACATATGAAAGAATGGGTCTGTGTGGGCAGTGTGCACCATATAAAAAAAAATCCTGCAGCACGCAGTGCATAATGAGAAAAAAAAAACTCCGACCGTTTTTTTTTTAATTAAAATACCGACTTTGCAGTTTATTTTCGTATAGTATTTATGGTTTTATTCTCGTTTTCTTGGTCTCATTTGATAGAACGGAAAACATGTTATAGAAATAGAGGTGATTTTGATTGGTTTTACTATGAAAAGAACCTGAAATGGAGCTCAAAGTAGGGGAAATGTTTGATTTTTGCCGATGTTCAGAAGTAAACAAATGATGTCATTTTCCAATAAATGTCCAAGTAGCCATTCTAATGTGCAGTCATGAATGGGTTGACATTATTTATACAATTATTACAATATTGCAGCAGTCTGCATAACAGTAAATCTTCTATTTTTTTTGTTTGAATAAAATTCAAAATAGAAAGCAAGAGTAATATCAGAGGGGCCTGGAGATGTGACTGATGAACAAAGAAAATGTTATTTTAGAGCCAGGAATGTCTGCATTGTTTATTCTGGACCCTATTTTGAAAATGTCATATTTTTTAATTTTCGTGAAATTGGCCAAATTGCAAATTTCTGACCACATTATTGGGTAGTTGAAATTGGTAAATGGGCAGTTTCTTGTACTCAATCGATAGAAAAAATGGAGTTCTAAAGAAATAGCTATGAGTTTCGTCGACTGGAACAATGGAATTATCCGAAAATAGGCCTCAAAGTGGGCGAAATCGCTGATTCGTAAATATCGCCGATGTTGCTAACTTCGCAAGAGCGTAATTCCGTCAGTTTTCCATCAAATTTCGTTCTTACAATCGGGAAAAGATTCTCTGTCATTTCATATGAAAAAAAATAAAAATTTTTTTTTTTTTTTTTTGAAATTTTGTAACACCAGGAGACAGCTCAGGATTTGGGGTTGCAACAGTCAAGAGGTTAATTATTACTTACATTCTCAAATCTGATAACAGGCAGGTGCATACATAACACAGGTCATCTGCATAATTGGTGGAAGCATCTGCATGTATACGTATCTAGGAAATGCTGCTTTCTGAGATATGTTGGCCATACATGTGCCTGGAGTATGTATCGAGTTGTTTATGCTGTAAAGGCGATCAGAGTTTCCCTGTGATCTTACTGAATTCACTTGGAGTGTACAAACTCTGGAGCTATGGCATATCAGTGTTATGCTTCAGAAAACATACATGTATACAGTGGAACACTGGATTTCGTCCGCACCAGATATCATACGATTTGGATTTTGACCACTTTTTTCGGCTAAATTTGCTCCAGATTTCGTATCTCATTCCGGAAATCATCCATATCAGATGCGTCCACTCACCTGGGATGCTGCCACTCATGCGTATGTGTCTCAGTCTGGCTCTGTCACTGGTTGAGTGAGCATTCATCCGAAACATTTCGTAATAATTCATTGTTTTTTGTGCTTGTTTATTGAGGGCGACTGCAAAATAAGCCACCACCATGCTGATACAAGCCTTATCTGCAATGTGTTCAGTGACAATACCTTGTCTCATTTTAGGCAAATCTTAAAGAGATGCCAGAAACAGCTCTCTGGACAGATTTTTAGTGCAACTGGGCTCCAGTGCCAGTAAAAGACAAAGAAGGGAAGTAACCCTGGATAGGGCTTTGATGCCTGAAGGCCTATAGAGGGGGATTCCCCTTCCAAACAATAATCTCTGCTCCTCCCCCCTCTCCCCTCCTCGCCATCCATACCATAAGTGTGATGTTAAATGTTCATTTATCTATTTCATTAGTCATTTATATTTCTTTTTCATTGTTTTCTGTATGTAAAAACTATAGTTATTCTTTAAAATATTTACTTTTTGTTAATATTTTTTGTATTTACATTATTTTTGTTAATATTTTTTGTATTTACATTTCTTATGGGAAATATTGCTTTGGTTTTCATCCGTTTCAGATTTACACTGACCTTCTGGAACAGATTAAGGACAAAATCCGTGGTTCCACTGTATTTCTTTAAAGAATAAAGAGGCACAATCTCCTGACTGGAACAATACACAAATAACTTGCACAGATTATTTGTGTACATCTTTTCTGGCAGCTTGCTGCTGATCAGAAACACTGCAGACAAGTGGTTGGTGACTTGTAGACTGGCAGTGGCCACTGACCACCACTTTGAGAAGCACTACTCTACACTACTGTAACCCGTTATTTTAGTAATGTACAACTTATTGGTATGAAAGTTAAGACACATGTGCAACATCTGGATATCTTTATTGTAGTAGACGTTTCGCCATCCAGTGGCTTTATCAATACAGATTCTAGGACATAATAGGAAGACAGTAGAACTATATACAAAAGATGAGGTAATCAGTCCCTCGGCCTTGGAGTTAGTGTTCACAGCATCGTGGTGGAGGAGAATCTGGAGCAAAGACAAGAAGACTGGCGGTTATATAGGCGTCAGTGGATAGGGACGGGCAGCAGACGAGGGCAAAGTCACTGGTAGGGCGGGATTCCCCAGTGGAAGTAGGTCCTTCCCAAAGAGATGGGTTAGTTGCAGCAGCCGTGAAGGTCTTGTAGATGTCCACTGGGGAATCCGCCTACAGTGACTTTGCCCTCATCTGCTGCCCGTCCCTATCCACTGATGCCTATATAAACCGCCAGTCTTCTTGTCTTTGCTCCAGATTCTCCTCCACCACGATGCTGTGAACACTAACTCCAAGGCCGAGGGACTGATTACCTCATCTTTTGTATATAGTTCTACTGTCTTCCTATTATGTCCTAGAATCTGTATTGATAAAGCCACTGGATGGCGAAACGTCTACTACAATAAAGATATCCAGATGTTGCACATGTGTCTTAACTTTCATATTGTCGGTATTTTATACCTTTCTTGCACAACTTATTGGTATGTTTATAATCTAATCTAATTTGTTTTTTACTAACAGATCACTTGTTCTCTGTGCACTAGCTGTATACAGTGAGTCTGGCAAGTGTGTCAATGGAAAAGTACGATGTCTAGATGCTCTTGGTGCCACAGGTGTGTCAGGGTTGGCCTGGGCTCGACAGTTACCGAAGGTGTGTAAAGTTTTTCTTCACATCATAATTACATCTACAGTTGTCTCTTCTTCTGGAAATTT